CCCAGCGTAAAGCACAAGGCTCATGTGCGGAGTGAAGCGGGGAAAAAAGTGCGAGAGAGAGAGAGAGGCTGAGAGAAAGGAAAAAAAAACAAAACCCATGTGACGACTCACGATAAGGAGCCGGCTCGCGTCGTTCACGTCAAAGACCCGGCTCTAAGAGCCATTTCGTTCGCGAACGACCCATCACTAGTACACAGACACGCTGTCAGGGCTGAATTCTGATTCTGGAGGTTTTGTCATTATCCGATCAAAATTCACTGAACCAGCAGCAAAAGAAGATCAAAACTACAGTTCACATTTGATAAACATCATATTTAATTCCCTCCTACTTTTGCTGTTTTGCTTCCACCACAATAAAATCACACTTCCTGCACAGCTCTCTCTTTCTCTGTGTAATTCAAGAACAGTTTCCCGCAAACTCAAATCTGTTTTCTGCATTATTTGCTTGCTTATTACGCACCAGTCTACCGTTGTGTGCATTGCTGTCGCAGGCTGTTTTTTTTTTGTTTGTTTGTTTGTTTGTTTTGTTGTTGTTTTTCAAAAATGCCTAATTTCTGCTGTTCAACGACAAAGAAATGTAAACTTTTTAAAATTATGCCAAACTGCAAAAGGCTTAGCTGTGTCTCTAATAAAACCTCTGTAACTTTGCTCTGTTTCGCTTCAGCAGCATCAGGTAATGTTCATATGTTAATTCATGGTTTTCCTCTGTTTTTGATCTACTGCATTTTTAAGTTGGTGCTATAAAAATTCAGGCCAGGAAAATCTCCTTCATGTTTTTCTGTGTTTTATCCTGTTACTTTGACACAAAAGCATGTGCTGTGATGCTTACACCTCTGATGAAGTCTGATAAGTGTCAGCTTTGTTATAGATATCTAGATATAAAATATGGATATGTACTGATAAATGATCAGAATTATAATATTTCTGACTAAGTCAAAATTGAATTTAATCGAATTGAATCAGGGATAGAATTGAATTGGGACCTCGTGAATCGGAATCAAATAGATTATAGAAATCAGTGATGATATCCAGCCCTAGTTGTAATGGACAGGCTAACAGATGAGGTCAGGCAGGAGTCTCTGTGGACTATGATGTTTGCAGTTGACATTGTGATCTATAGTGAGAGTAGGAAGAGGTAGAGGTATGCTATGGAGAGAAGAGGAATGAAAGTAGCAAGAACAGAATATGTGTGTGTAAATGAGATAGGTGGAAAGGGTGAACATGCAAGGACCAGAGATAGTGAGTTACTGTCGATGTGCCAGCACAGACAGTGGTACTCTGCTCTTAGATGAAGTAAAAGGATTTCATGCAAGTCAGAAGTTAGTAGCAAAGATGCAATTAAAGGTTCAGCTGTTGTATAACTTGGTTGGGGTCCAGACCATCTAAAACAACAGAGGTGAAAGAGAGTGCAGGCAGAATGGAGTGGGTGGAGATAAAAGTCAGGAGTGTGAAAGGGATGATTTACAAGATGGTAGTAAGACATGTTATGGTGTATGGTTTGGAGACAGTGGCTTTGACTAAGAGACAGGGGGCTGAGGTGAACATGTTAAGCTTTTCACTTGGAGTGACCAGGAAGGATAAGATTAAAAATGAGGACACCTCAGTCCATCTGATGTCCTTATCATATAGAAAAAGTGGGAAACAGTGACAATGTCCACTTTAACATAATTTGTTAGCTGGACAGTTACTCCTTTCTGACCACTTTGTCTTCTTTGTTGCATTAGTTCATGCTGGGAGTGACTGAGGAGCAGCAGGACATGATTCCACCTGCCACCAAATCCCTGCGACAGCGCCGTTGTGGCCACTGTCTGCTTCAGGTATGCTGCTCAGCTCGTC